TCTTCCTGTCCCCTGTGACTAACTAACGAAACGAGGCTTCCAGGCTACACAGTCATGATAGATTCCAAATGTCTGCGCCAGCTATTCAGGTATGTTATTTGTTTTCGTCTTTCTTTTCATTTTTTTTCCTCTGTCGAGAAATCCTCCCGACTTCATTGTTCGGATACAAATGTTTTGTTCGGAAAAAATTCTTGCAAGTGGGCTTTTGAATCGATTTCCAATTCCTTATATTGAGTCCACATTCTTCGGCTCTCGCTCCACTGCTCCTCATCGTTCTTTGTGTATACGGAAAGGTCATTCATCTTTCCGGGGGCTCTCGTGGTCGAGAGGTAAGGGTGTTTGCCTCTCTTTCAATAGGTCCCGGGTTCGAATCCGGATGGGGACATGGGAATTTTCATTCTCTAATATTGTCTCCTTTCACCTCCTTTCCTGCTCTCAATAGGTTCTGTTGTCTGCTTTCGTCTTCACTTCCTGCCCCCACTCCCTCACCTCCTTTGCCCCCTCCTCTGGGCTCCTAACTCTCTCTGCAGCCTTTCTACACCTGAGGTAAGATGATCTACACCTGGCCTTCTCAGATAAGAAGGAAAAATCTCGGAGGTCTCGTGTGCAAGTTGCATATTATGTTATGTAAAAGATTCCTTGGTGGTCCAAAATCAATAAGAGTAGGCTTTGGCTTATTTTTTCTCTACATTTAATAATCATTATTGCATTGATGCGCTTCTCGTTACTCGAACTCAAAAAAGTTTAATAACTAGAATCTAGTTTAACTTCTAATTTATGTTTCTCAGAAAGTCGGCACCCACATGAGAAGCCAACAGCGGGTGGTCTGCTGCTCCGTTTTCCGTCTCTCACACTCAGGCTTAAAGTGACGCAGTGGGGTTTTAGAGATAGGCAAATAGCTTGATAGGGAGCTAGGTGGATAGGATAGAGTGAGAGTAGGATTTTGTAGGAGTTGCCATGGCCATGGCGGGAGGTAGTTGAGGTGGCAGTGTAGGTTTGGTTGTTTTTTTAGGGGGGTGGGAGGTAGGACGGGAAGGGTGGCAGGGGTAGAATGGTGTGGGTAGAGCTTCCTGCTGATCTTGAGTTTGAGTGTGAGGTTGTTGGAGTGGCATGTATACTGGATTGTTCCTTGAAGAGGTTTGCTGGTGCGGCACTGACAGACCTGTATCGAAGTGGATCTTCATCACCAGGACCACTCGCTGATGCGGAGGACAATCTACAAGAGGTAGGCCTATTTGTCGGTGAAGTAATATGTCTTGGAAGATTATTTGTTTATTAGTTCAATGAAATTAGAAAAATACCTATGAGACTGAGTTCAATGTAAGTTTTTGTTTTTTAATTCAGATAAAACAGGAAAATGATTAAAACTTATTTACAGATTTTTATATATAGCCTTCTGTCCTTTAAACCAACCATAAAAATTTTTTTAACAACTCTTTATCTGATGAAACAAACTAATTAACATGTCTGATGAAAGAATTTATTCCTAATTGACTCATGTCTTCATCACCAGGACCCCTCTGCTGGACGACGACGCCAAGGATACCTCGGCCAGACCATCAACAGGAGGTATTTGTCTGTGATGTAATGTGTCTTGGAAGATTATTTGTTTATTAGTTCAATGAAATTAGCTGAATATCTATCTATGGGACTTACTTAAATGTAAAAGTTATATTTATTTCATTTAGATAAAACCAGAAAATAATAAAAATTTATTTACAGAATTTTATAAATGACCTTCTGTCCTTTTAAATCAACCATAAACATTTTTATAACAACTCTTTTATTTGATGAAACAAAAAATGAGCTTTATTGATTAAGGAAGATATTCCTAATTGACACATGTCTTCATCACCAGAACCGCTCCAGCGAGGATGACCCGGATGACGATGCCAAGGATACCACGGCTGGACCATCAACAGGAGGTATGTATCTATGAAGTAATGTGTCTTGGAATAATTGTATTTTTTCATTAGCTCAAAAAAAAAAGGAAAAGGATAAAATGTATATACTGACAGATTTTTAAAAATGACCTTTTGTCCTTTTAAACCAACTGTAAACAATTTTATAACAACTCTTTATCTGATGAAACAAAAAAATTAACATGATTGATGAAAGAGGATATTCCTAATTGACACGTCTTCATCACCAGGACCCCTCTGCTGGAGCGGAGGATGACCCAGATGAGGACCAAAGGATACCACGGCCGGACCATCAACAGGAGGTAGGCCTATTTGTCTGTAAAGTAATGTCTTAGAATAATTTTATTTCTTCACTGTCACAATAAAATTAGAAAAATACGTCTGAGACTGAGTTTAATGCAAGTTTTGTTTTTTAATTCAGATTAAACAGGAAAATGATTAAATGTATTTACAGATTTTTATATATAACCTTTTGTCCTTTTAAACCAACTATATACAATTTTATAACAACTCTTAATGTGATGAAACAAAAAAAAAAAGCTTTATTGAAGGAGGATATTCCTAATTGACACATGTCTTCATCACCAGGACCCCTCCGCTGGAGCGGAGGATGAGCTGGACGACTATGCCAAGGATTCCACGGCCGGACCATCAACAGGAGGTATTAGTCTGTGAAGTAATGTCTTGGAAAATTATTTGTTTATTAATTCAATGAAATTAGTAAAATACTTATCTACAGGACTGAGTTAAATGTAAAGGTTATATTTTTTTCATTTAGATAAAACGTGAAAAATGATAAAATGTATTTAGCGACAGATTTTTTAAAAATGACCTGTCTTTTAAAACCAACTGTAAATAATTTTATGACGTTTCTGTTTATTTGATGAAACAAAAAATAAAGCTTTATTGATGAAAGAGTTTGGTCCTAATTGACACATATCTTCATCACCAGGACCCCTCTGCTGGAGCGGAGGATGACCCAGATGACGACCCAAAGGATACCACGGCCGAACCATCAACAGGAGGTATTTGGTTGTGAAGTAATGTGTTGGAATAATTTTATTTTTTCATTCGCTCAAAAACAATTAGAAAAATAAAAATGGGACTGAGTTCAATGTTTTGTTTTTTAATTCAGACAATACCCGAAAATGATAAAATGTATTTCAGATTTTTATAAATGACCTTCTGTTCTTTTAAACCAACCATAAACAAATTTATAACCGCTCTTATTTTTTGGTGAAACAAAAGAATAAGCTTTATTGATGGAGGATATTCCTAATTTACACGTCTTCATTACCAGGACCCCTCTGTTTTAGCGGAGGATGACCCGGATGACAACGCCAAGGATACCACGGCCGGACCATCAACTGGAGGTATTAATCTGTGAAGTAATGTGTCCTGGAATAATTTTATTTTTTCATTAGCTAAAATAAAATGGAAAAGGATAAAATGTATGTACTGACAGATTTTTTTAATGACCTTTTGTCCTTTTAAACCAACTGTAAACAATTTTATAACAACTTTTTATCTGATGAAACAAAAAATATTAACATGATTGATGAAAGAGGATATTCCTAATTGACACATGTTTTCATCACCAGGACCCCTCTGCTGGAGCGGAGGATGACCCGGATGACGACGCCAAGGATACCGCGGCCGGACCATCAACAGGAGGTATTCATCTGTGAAGTAATGTGTCTTGGAATAATTTTATTTTTTCTTTATAAAAAAAAAAAAGATAAAATGTATGTACTGACAGATTTTCTAAAATGACCTTTTGTCCTTTTAAACCAACTGTAAACAATTTTATAACAACTCTTCATCTGATGAAACAAAAAAAATTAACATGATTGATGAAAGAGGATATTCCTAATCGACACATGTCTTCATCACCAGGACCCCTCTGCTGGAGTGGAGGATGAAATGGACGACGATCCAAAGGACACCACGGCCGGACCATCAACTGGAGGTATTTGTCTGTGAAGTAATTTGTCTTTCAAGGCTCATTAGCTCAATAAAATGTTTGTAAAATCTTGTTGCGGTAAAGACGTTAACATATTGTCTCAATTGCAATATAGAATACATACTCAGTTTTCAAAAGACAATAAATTGCTATATGTAATTGTCAATGGATGAGGGTGCCAGCGGCAGGACCTTCTTTTTTCCTTTCCCCTGTTGTTTGTGTCTGTCTCGTCTTAATTTGTTCCTGCTTTTAATAGTCATTATTGCATTGATGCGCTTCTCGTTACTCAAACTCAGAAAAGTTTAAGCCATGTGGGCATCCGAGGAAACGAGCAGGTAGACGACCTGGCGAAGAAAGCTTCATCCCTTCTGCTGGGATCAACGACAAACACTCTCCCACAGACTGACTTTAGAAATAAAGTCAAAAAGTACACCTCCAGTCTGTGGGAGAGCCACTGGGAAAACCAGAAAAATAATAAATTATATGAAATTAAACCCAGACTAGAACAGCGAAATCCTTCGGATCTCTCCAGAAGAGACGAAGTCATTTTTACTCGATTGCGCATCGGACACACGGCCCTGACTCATAAATACCTCCTACAGGGAGAGGAGAAGCCGTTCTGTGTCGGATGCGACACAGATTTTACTATTAGACACATTTTAACAGAATGTCTAGACTTTGGAGAGATCCGAAGGAAATATTATAAATGCAGGAAATTGCAGGATATTTTCTCCGTCGTTGTTCCCAGCAGAATTTTAAATTTTATAAAGGCCATTGGCCTTTATGGCGAGTTGTAAAGTGAATCTGATATTATTTAAAATTTTTATTGTTACTTAAAAGTTGTTTTAGATCACAAATGTATTTACACCGAATTTGAATATTTTTAACTTTTTAGCATTTTAAAGTAAATTAGTTACCAGTCGTGAAGTGAACTTTCGCAGAGGTGAACAACT